AGTGTATTAGTCAGGGTTCTCCAAAGAAACAGAACCAGTAGAATGAATATGTATAAAGATTTATCAGCTTAGCTCTCGCCTTAGGATGAATCCTAATTCATGACAGTGAGTAAATTTATCATTGTTCTACTGGATTTGGTTGGATTCTGCATCTATTCATCATAGGCGTTAGACTATAATATCTTACCTGTTCTCTCCTTATCTAGCGATGATATCAGATTTTTTTTCATTTAGTTTGTGTATTAGTGAGGGTTCGCTAAAGAAACAGAACTGGTAGAATTAATATATATGTATAGAAATTTATCAGCTTAGCTCACAGGATAGAGTCCAAGTAGTTCAACAATGGCTGCACCACACTGGAGGGGCTGAGAATCCGTAGTCGCTCAGTCCGCAAGGCTGGATGTCTCAGTAGTCCCAATCTGGTACTGAAGGTCTGACAAATTCCGAAATATCAGCTAGTCTTCAGTCTACAGCAGAAAGACGAACTCACCAGCAAGAGAGAAGAAAAGCAGCAAGAAGCCTGGCATTCTCCTCTGCCTTGGTCTTTTATACGGGCTGCCATCAGAAGGTAACACCCACATTTAGGGTGTGTTTTCTGGCTTTAGATGATCCAATCAAGAAGTTCTCTTTCATTTCAGTTAATCTCAGATCAAATCAAGTTGACACCCAGGATTAGCCATCACAGGTAGCATCCAGAAATATATATATACTGATATATCAAGAAAATATGGCCTTGTGTTGAATAGTTTCAGTTGCCAACTTGAGATACCTAGGTAGACATACCTAGATTGAGGAATTTCCAAATGACCATGGGATTGACCTGTGGCCATTTCTTGAGGCATTTTCTTGATTGTTGAGTGATGTGAAAAAGCCTAGCCCACTGTGGGTGGTGCCACCCCTGGTCAGATGGTCCTGTGTTGTATAAGAAAGCAGGTTGAACACAGGCCAGGGAAGAACCCTGTAAGCAATGTTCCTCCATGGGTCTCTGCTTCAACTCCTGCCTCCAGGTTCTTGCCCCGAGTTCCTGCCCTGACTGCCTTCAGTGATGAACTGTGACCTGGGAAATGTAAGCTGAAATAAACCCTTTCCTCCTCAAATTGGTTTGGTCAGTGTTTTTACCTCAGCAACAGAAACTTAGAACAGGCCTTTATGTTAAAACTTAGTTGTAAGACAAAGCAAAACAGATTTACCAATTATTTATTTATTTATTGGTCTTTTTGAGACAGGATCTCCCTGTAGCCCCAGCTGGCCTGGAACGCACTATGTAGACCAGGCTGGCCTTGAACTCACAGAGATCTGCCTGCTTCTGCCTCCCAAGTGCTAGGATTAAAGGTGTGCATCACCATGCCTGGCCTAAATTTACCAATTTTTTTAAAGTGTGAGACTCTAAATTTATGACCAAATGAAATGAAAATCACTTATTTGTTCAAACTCTAAAACCACGTGCTGTAATTTTAAGTCTTAAGTAAAACATCTCTATTTTAGTCTTAAACAAGAATATAAAAAAATAGATACAAGTCTAACAGGCCAACAGAGAAAATGACACATAAACAATGACAAGAAATTCATAATTATCATGAAGACAGATGAAAAGAACACTTAAATCAGAGGCACTTTAGTAAAAAACAAAAACAACCAAACAAAGGAAAACAAGGTAGAATGTGTGCCTCTGTGCCTTTGAGATGTCTACTTTGAGTGTCTACTTTGAGTGTCTACTGAAAGGTAGACTGTAACAGTGAAGCTTGTTATGCAGACAGGTTAATATCTTTCCCTGTTTTAATTTTTTTCCCTTTTTTCCCATTCACCCCTACAATAATCATTTTAATATGCATTTAGGGCCAAGAAGTTCTCATTTGGACAATAGTTTCCAAATAGATATGTATGTATATCAGTCATTTATTT